GGAGCATAGGAGGTTCAACCTGAACACGAGGGAAAACTCCCTGTGAGGGTGACAGAGCACTGGACCAGGCAGCCCTGAGAGGTTGTGGAGTCTCCATCTCTGGAGACATTCAAAACCCGCCTGGACGCGTTCCTGTGTGACCCAGTCTAGGTGATCCTGCTCTGGCAGGGGGGTTGGACTGGATGAGCTTTCAAGGTCCCTTCCAACTCCCAATACTCTGTGATTCTGTGGAAAGCACCAACCAAGCACCATGCTTGCCTTGCACACTCCATCCTACTTCTCACAAGCAAGTGGCAGTTGTCAGTCCTGGTTAACTTACAAGTATAGCTCAAACTGGAAATAAGAATTCATGCAAGGCCTACACAGAAGTCACTTGATGAAATGCATGTTTAAGTTCCCTTTCAGATTCTCATGACATGCTTGACCTAAGGTCATGGCCAAGAACTGCCTAACAACAAGGCTATTCCTGTCCTTAAATGATTTGGGTTTCTGCTCAGACTTGCTTCCACTGCTAAACTATGCAGAACTAAAAGTTTTTTTAAAGTGTGCGCTAGTCTGTTGTGAGACTCCAATTAAGTTTTGATTCCTGGGTAAATTTAAAACTTTTCTTGCATGCCCCACCCAAGCAATATTACCCAGTGTGCTCTTACTTTGTACAGGGAATAAAATAAATAACTTAAGTAAATACAAGGAAGGGATTATTTTTTATATTTATTTTAGCTAGTAGTGGTTAACCCCAGAACACAGGAGTGAAAGCCTCCTGGGACTAAGCCCTACTTCTTGCTTCTGCAAGCATGCCACAATGCTTATCAAGAATACCACCACCCTCCCCACCAAACAAACGCTATGCTCCTTATGGCCAGGTTTTAACACCTAACAGAAGTATTCCATGAACAGAAAATATTTTAACTAGTGGTCAATAAGCCCTTTAACCTTAAAGCTAGTTATCCATGCCTATTCTTAAAGTCATTTTGGCAGCCCCTTTTCAGCACCTGTTTGAGGTCTAGCTCATGCTTCTTTATTACAGACAGCCACGAAGTGATTTCCACAAGAGCTCATATTGTAACCTTTCACTAATATCTTGTGCTTTTTACGGCTTCACTACTTCGGCAGTTCAAGTCATCTGTGCTCAACCAGTAGCCTGTGTGTTTTTTCTATCATTTCAAATTGATAAGCTCTTCATACTGGTTGTGGCCTTGCTGTTAGTATTATCTTCACCTACAAACTATGAGATCAAGAAACAAAATTTTACGAGTAGATTAGAAATTATTGTGCAATTCTATATTACAGCCTAATTACTTACAGCTATAAATATTGTTAACATCGGCTAGCTACTGGATTAGTGAGGTCTCAAGGTCTGAGCAGTATGCACATACTACACGCTTTCCAAAAGCGAAGCATATTTTTTCCTTTATGTCCAGAACTGCTTTTGCATGTGATAATCACTTAGAAATTAAAATCTACAAATACAAATCCTTGGCAGTTCATACACATCAATATTAAAAAATTTTAAGTTTCAGAAGCTGTTAAAACTGTGGAAGAGCTTATAGTGAAATGCTGCAGACTATGTGAATTTTTTGAACGTGTTTACTCCTTCGGAAAAAGAACTGAATATAAATGAGTATGAAACTCCACAATCAAAACTTCAAGCCATAGCAGCATAACTAAAACAAGACCCTCTTCAAATTAAAGTGGGGTGGGGAAGAAGAAGTCAGTCTCCAGAGCTTAGTTGGAGCTGTAGTCCTGGTTTTACAGAGTTGCTAGTTTCAGTATGCTTTTTAAGACTGGCATTTGGAGTAAATACTAGTCAACATTTAAACTGCATTAAATGTTTATCATAAAATATGCTCAAGGTTCCACATTTTGTTAGAACGTACTTTCAAAGCTGATTTTATTATAATATTGTTCAAATCATTTTTTAGATTCTAGTTTGACATGACAGCATCTATGATAATCTACTAATCTATGAAACAGCTAGTATGATAATTTATAATAGCAAGACTCCTTGAATTATAGAAGGCCACACATCCCACATTTTATGCTGAAACCTTGACAGATGACCCTCTCCAGCTGTGAGCAAGGTTTTCTCAATGCCGTACTTAAAGTGTCTTAAGGTTACCAGGATGTACAAGGTCTTCAGCAGAGAAGTCCAGCTAGAAAGAGTTCTTTACAAAGCTGTTCCTCCATCAGCATTTATTCTCTACAACTTCCAGGCAATGGTAGAAACAAAAGCTCTGAAAGGTGTTCAGATTAGATCTAAAGGATTACCTCAATTCTGCTTTCATTTGTTGAGTCACCCTCCTCAGTGTATCTTCACCTCATTTATACTTGGTCTTGTAACATGAGGTAATAGCTAGCCAGCTGTAATTCATGCAAGCCTTGCTAGCAAGTAGGCTGACAGAAATTTAGTGCAGCAGCAACTTCTGCTTTGTGTAAGAAGCCAAATAAAGTAAATGAGAACAGTTTCAGAAACACTGTCCAGTAGAAAAACCATAATAAAACTTTCACAAAAAAAGCCTGCTTAAGCATAATTCAGCACATAGTCATTTCATACTCATTTATTCCATTCACAGTCCGAGGAGTAAGTTTCTTCCTAATTAACAGATGCAGAAGTTTGTCTCGGTAGCTATGTCACTTTTGTCTTGGCAGTTAATGGAAAAACAAGTACTTATGAAGTAGGTTTACTGACCTCTTCCATTTTAGATTTCTTTACGACACATTCATCATCTTCACTACTTTTTCTCTTCTTCCTAACCCCCATGCAAAAAATGAAATATTTAGGTATTTTTGTAAGTCAGTACTTCCTCTGATTTGGCCACAACACTAGACTATGGATATACATGTCACACAAAAAACTACAGCAGCTTGCTGGGAGTTCACAGTGGAGGCTACAGTGGAAAGGGCTGAAAATTAAAATCAGGAAGTCCTTTGTCTTCCACATAAGTCTTAAGAAAACACTAACCCTTTACACAATTCTTGTTTTAAGCATGTGATTTTGAAGCTTTTGATTCTCATTACATATGACATTAAGTGGCCAAACCTGAGAAGCCACCTGGCTTCTGTTCTGTGCTACAAAATAATCAGCATTGCAGCTTGCAGTGCTAACTAGCACAAAGGAACGTATTTACATATTACTGAAAGCACTGCTCTGAGTCTTGGTTCTCAGCTTCCAGCAGATAATCACAAAATAAGCATGTGAACATCCTCATGTATACATTTAGATGTTTTCACTTTCAATTGCTCACAGAGATCAGAGTAAACAAATGTTTCTATAGCAATAAAAAACAAAAAGAAAGTATCTACTTACGCCTCTGGAATAAGTGAAATCTCCAAGCTGTGACATTTCTCTAATTTCTGTTTTAGAGCAGCAATCTCTTCAGGCTTTGGCAGTTCGTATTTCTTTATGAGATTTTTCATGGCTACAGTGGCAACAAAACAGCTCTAATCAGATTACATAATTTCTGTTCTAATACCTTCTTCTGAATTACAGAAGCTTATCAATCAGTAGTCCAGCTACAGTTATTGCTTATCCCTCATACTTAAGCTCAAGCCAACAGTTCACTGTCCCTTCTTTCATTATAACAGGAGCACAGTATACATTTTCAAGCAGCTTCTACTTGGAAAATAAACTGAAAAAAGCATATCTCGTTTTTCATATCCATTTTGGTAACAGTATCTAAATTTTGAAAGCATCTCTATCTATTTTATTAACACTCAAGACACTACATAGCAACATGCAACATGTTGCAATCAAACATCTGAGACAGATTACAGAGTAAAATCCTTGTATTTTTCAAGCCAAGTATTAGACATTCAAAGTATTAACTCCTCCCAAACTGCTTGCTTATAAAACTTTCGATCCAACATCACACTCAAGCTTTAGAGGATCAAAGATTACATATAAGACTTAACTCCCATCTCACATCCAACGATTAATTCTACATAACATTAAGGTACAGCAGAAGCCGAGCACAGACAGCTACATGGAAACAAGTTGTCAGCATCATTGATTCTGATCTCCTTGAGACAAGTTATACTCACGCAGTTCACATTACTCTGCTAACAAGCTTCAAAATACACGGGTATATTTTGCATTCAGCATTGTATCTCAGTCTTAAAAAACATTGTTTTCAGTCTTATTTAGAATGCAAATTAAATTTACAGCTACCCTGCAAGAAAAAACTCTTTCCTCTATGACCAAGTATCAACCAGTCATTTACAGATGCTTCAAAATTTCCTTCCAGCCACCCTATGTTTACAGAAGCTAAAGCCACCTTCCAGAACAATGCAATTGTAAGTGATCCCAGCATTCCCTTTGCACCTCAGCAGTGGAAACCTGAAGACTGGATGTTAGCAGGAAGAGAGAGCAAAGAGCATCTTAAGTTTTGTAAGTTCAATGTAAATTTAATTTGTAGACCTGGTGACTTGGATGGTGCATTTACTATTAAAGCCAGTTTAGTCAAAGGACTGGATTCTTAAATAGTACCTCATTCCCATTTTAAATGCTTAAAAGATTAAGTAACTCATTAATTACTGGGAATTTCATATCCCATTCTTTTCATTTAATTAATTTTTCATTTAAACAGGTAATAATCAGTGTACTACATTCTCCATTATCTTAGCTAAAACATGCTAACACTCTTGGTATTATAGATATATATCTAGATATATACAGGTATATACACACACACTAGCAAGTCTAAACATCCTTTTAAAGACCTTTATAGCTGCAAGACAGAAGTGAAGAACAAATTGTGGCAGATCACATAACGTTAATCATTTAGCTTAGAAAAGGTACCCTCTGGTGGTAGTAGTAACAACATGCAGGCTTTTGCCTAAAGCTGTAATATTTAAGTTACAGTGACTGAAGTGTAATTTCATCCTTACTTACAAAAAACATTATCTAGTTCCCCAAAGAGATTTCTCACTTTTGAGTCAGCTGCTAGCACTTAACTGATTACATACTTGTATTCTGAAAAGCATCAGGCCCTTTGCCTTTTAATTTAATCTGTTTATATCACAGGTAAGTCTCAGTGTTTTCTTCCCTTGCATCCATGTGCTAGGCAGTTCATTCTACTGCCAATGCTTCACTTACATTACACTAGCCCTGAACTGAAGAAAACCACTTGAATCACACTTTTCTGCTTAAAGTTTTTGTTATTTGGAAATAACTGTTCTTCTTCCTTTAGAGATACTGTTTATCATCATTTTCTCAATGTTTACTTACATTTCATGCACTCCAGTAGCTCGGCTAAGGAAGCTCCCTCTTCTTTCAGCGTAAGACTTTCTGATAAATAACTGCAAACAGACATGGAGGAGTAAGTTCTCAAAATACAGTGCTATCCTTATTTGTGGCAGCTATCATTAGTTAATAAAAATATAAATTATCTGCATCTGCTAGAGCTTTAAGACTAAACTTAGCAAGAACATTTTGGTTACGTAAGTACTGTAACATGATAAAAAAAGCAAATCTGTGACTTGTAACATTGTTCTTCTGCAAGAACATGACAGAAATATCCCCCAGCCATCCAAAGAACTGAAGTTTCAACACTACAGAACTAAACATTTTTAAGTGAGCCTCAATGAGTTAAGTCAACTAACATTTAAGATTCTATCAAGTGTCATACTAACATCACACTATGGTATAGGATGACTGCAAAAGCAAATATTAACAGAAGAGTAGTTTTCAGACAGACCAACAGAGAAGAAAGCTTGCAAGATGGGACTGCTTCTTTAGGCAGCTGAAAGGAAATCCTAAAAGTCATCTTGTAGAGTCTCTCAGACCCTTCCTCTTCCCTGAGATTCAAGCTTCCTTTTAGTAAGAACATTGACACACACAGCACCTGGGTAAAACCCCAACACACATAGGCAACAATCCTCACCAAGATCCACAACCACCAAGTAGTTTTATCCCTTCCTAGAAGTGCACTTTCAGATAAATTACAGTAATCCAGTGACTCCAAAGCGTATCAATCTGTTTGGTCAGTGTTCATTTCAAACTTACTTCACAGACAGCTGTAACAGCTGCAGCTTCCAGACTGACACACTGGCCTCCATGAAGATGGTTATTACTATAAGCTGACAGCCACTCTGTTAGCATCATTGCTTTTGTAGAGCTCACGTTTAACAGTGTTATTTAACCTTGCAATGACACCAGAACTGAAGTTTAATTTGGAGCCACCATTAGCCAGAGCATAGTGACACCCGTTTTCTTCTGAAGCTCTACCTTTTCCAAGACTAATCTGCAGACTGACATTATGGGAGTGACAGGTTTTCAAACCTTCCACAGTGCATCTCACCTCTGCAGGCACACCTACGCACAGGTCCACAAGACCTGAGCTGCTGCATTATCTTGTCATGTCCAGTACCTCATACTCACTTAAATCAATAAATTACAAGGTTATGGCAACTGCATGGTGCAGGCAGGTGACAAAGACTTGAGTTCTTCATGCACATGCAAAGATAAAGTTCATGTACCTTGATTCATACACTATCTACAAATTATTCTAATTCCTTTTTTAAGTAAGCTTTTCTTAATTTTGGCACAAGAAGCACAGAATAAAATTTCAGGAATGAGATCAACAAGTTTCAAGTCACTGTAAGCACTCGAATGTCTTTATGCTCTTCTGAGAGGACACTGGAGGATACTGTCACCGTAGAGGATATTCTCACACTTCCTTTTTTCTTTTAGAATAAGAGAGATTTGAATTTGCTACGAGCAGGTGGAAAAAAAGCTTCTTTAAAAAAAGAACTGGTTGCATTTAGCATTAGCCCTTGTGCCTGCAGGCATCAGTTACTCTCTAGATGCAAAATGCTCACATGGAGCATCACCTAATTAAAACACTCCACATACAGCTCCTTACAGCAACTACATCAGTTGTTTTTCTGAAGAACAGTGTATGTTTTGTCCTTAAAAAGAAACAAAATAAACAAATCATGCATTTCAGCAAAGATATTAAAGTGTTTGATAATGCCTTTGTAAACACCAGTGGCTAGACCACAGGAAAGGTAAGAACGGACCAATTTAAAACAGCACCTTATCCTTACTCTGTTTCCACAGAAATACAACAGATGTACCAGTCAAACACAACACTTAGTTGCCATATGCCTCATAGCTGTAAATTCAGTGTAGTTTGACCTCACAGCTTTAGATACCTTAAAATGTCTTTTTTTTTCTTTAGGTGTTTCTACTGTATTTCCACTTTCTTCACTTTGATCTTCACGATGAGTCTAAAAATCCTATTCTGTTCTGATTAGGGCAAAGTCGTCAGTTTGATATTGTTTTTGTTCTTCTTCCAAAGAAATACAGCCAGACACCAACTAATTGCATTTATCACCCCTTTTTTGGAAAACAAACAAACAGAAAACCACCACCACCAAAATCAGCACCATTTCAGTTTTGAAACATACTTGAAGAACACACCAGTGCATTAACAATCAGCAAATACACACATCTAGTTTAGACTGTCTAGGAGAAGAAAAGAAAATAAAATCCTACCTTTCCATATTAACTCCTACTCTTGAGCCACTGGATAATACGGCAGCAAGAGCTATCTGCGAGGGAGTGAAGAGCAGATACGCATCTGTCAGAGCCACTCGATTGAGGAAGTCATCAGCTGCTTTCCTCAGACCTTCAGGATTCTCCAGCATTGGATAACGTGTCTAAAAAATAATTATTTAGGAAAGTAAGCACCTATTCCTTGTCTTCTGGTTCATGAGCTCAGAATGCACAATTCAACAATAGTCTGTAAAGCTAGTAAGTAGCAGGCCTTCTTCTTACTCCAAAAATAATCTAAAGTGCTTAAAGACCACAACTAAACCAACTTCCTTTCAGATATCTGACTATCACTTAGCAACCAGTTCTTTAACACCACAGGCACAATAGGAAATAAAGTTTTCTAACACAACCCACAATGGATTTGAATTAAACTAGCATATGAAGTATGTAACATAAAACAATACTACCTTCAAATCGATTAGAAATCCTTCAAATGGCCTGAACGGATTGTGGACAATAAGATGGAAGTTCAGCTGCTGAATAAGCAGTAGTTCATATTCCAGTATTTGTTCAAGTGCTTTTTCCTGTCCAGGAGGGCTTTCTCGAAGGTTACCAACAAACTGTGCACTGGACACATTAAATTCATCTACTTTACAGGCCAAAAATGCACATGTTAGCCTTGAGGATGGAAAAAAAAGCAAAAAATTGACATCTGCAGCATCCATCTTTTTATCAAGAGTTCTGTTCAGAAAATTTCTATCTTCAGAACACCATACTCTGAACACAGCAAACTTTTCCAAATGGAAACTGAAAGCGACCATACTTCATCTTTACTCATCTTTAAGCTCTCAGATTTCCTTTCTCATTTTTTCAGGTCTTCACACATATAAAGATTTTATCTCCAATATTCCATTTGGCAGAATAACTCATGAAATGTTGATAACTCACATTATTATCCGAGGATGATACTCCATCACTGAGTTATTGAGGTAAAAACGTTTGAAGTACATGCAAGCTGTTCCCTAAATTAAAAAAAGGAGAGGGAAAAGTATATAAGCAAAAATGGATTAAGAAAGACTATACATAAATTTAAAAATTAAATCACAAAACGGAAGAGATAAGTTTGAATGTATACTACAGACATACACGATACACTAAGGCACGAAGATGCACACAGTGCCATATCATTAAATATTTCAAAATCTAATACACTTATTCCTGCAGGAGCCTTACAAAAATCACAGCTTGGTTATCTTTTCCTCCCTTATTAGATATATTTAGGAAGACAATGCTCAAAAATTCTATTTCTTCATGAGAAAAATCTGATTTTAAATGAAATTTAAAAACCAAAGACTGAGAAAATTATCTGGAAAGCTGTAAGTAATTCCAGCCAAGGTATGTGACTTTTTAAGACAGTAAACCTCCCATCAAGTTTAATGTTTATGCTTCTCTGTATGTCTAGAAGCACTTCAGTATGTCAATGCCAAATTTCCAAGCTAATCTGAATGCCACTGGCAAGAAAGCAGATGTTTTCCAAAACCATTGCTTGTGTGTATGATCCAGCACACACACTCTACGTAGGCCAATTCTGAAATATAAGGTATAGCTCCACAAAGAAAGTAATGGCAGCCTACTGCTCTTTCAAATGCCTCTTCACAACTTACAATAGCATTTTGTTTTGGTTTGGGGTTTTTTTCTTTTTTTTTTTTCCCCCCCCCCCCTGCCACAAAAAGGAATGACTGACAGCAGATGATACAGGTTGTGTGTTTCAATGGCTAGGTAACAAAACAAGCACAATTTAATTTCCTGCTTGAGCTCTTAAGTCTGCACACTCTCTCTTCTGAAATGTACTTTTCTGCATTCAAGATAAGACAGTTCAAAGATCTCCCCCCCCTTTGTAGGTTAGTTTACTGTCGGTACAAGTTCTTAAGCCAGCTTGCTTTGTGATCAGACACACACCAATGCTTGAGAAGCAAATGGACCAGAGAGCCCAACGCTGGGACCACCCCCTTTAGCTACAGTGAGATAACTTTATTGCACCATCAAACCATATATTTTTAGGTTTGTTTCTGTTCTTTGGTTAATGGAGAGGAAAGAAAGCAGTTAAAAGCCATCCATGTAAGTGTAACAGACACAGAAAGTTGAGAAATAACTCTGGTTTTAAAACGGCCGCACTGCCCAGGAAAAAAGCACAGGCTGCAGCACCGGAAGACAAGAAACTCTAAAGATATACGTGCTCTCAAGAAAAGGACAAGCAAGCAGCAAGCGAAAGCACAAGATACAGGGAGGGGGCAAAGTCTGCAGATGCATCACACATCACGTTTCAGACCATAAGCAGTCCACAGACACGCCAAGCAGCTGCTGCTTACCACCACGGATCTGGGCATAGCAGGCTTGAAGGCAGCGCAGAAGTCCAGCAACCGCTTTTCGTAGTACTTGCATATCGCCAGCTCCTCGTGGGGCTCCAGAAGGACAGAGTCGGTCTCCTGGACCTTAAAGGGACCAATGCTGAGCCTCACTCAAGGGCCGAGCACCGGTACAACCACCCTCCTACCCTCCTCCCCTCAGAGGGAGACGGAGCGTAGACCGGCACGAGGCCGCAACGCTCACGCTCTCCCTCCCCGCTGCCTCCTTTACGGCCCCGCCGCCTCGCACCTTCTCGTTCGCGACCACTTTGCTTCGGAACTTGTGGTTGGCCTCGGCCCGGCACCGCACCAGCTTCTCCTCATCGCTGAAGGTCCAGTACAGCTTCTGCGTGCTACTATGGAACATGGCGATGGCACGGACTGCAGCTCCCCGACTGGCCGCCGTGATATAGCCGCCTGCGGGGCATGCCGGGAGTTGTAGTTTGAGAAGAAGCGGGGCGGAACGGCCTGAGGTGTGGGGTTGCTGGTAGGGAGGGCGGTGTAAGCACTACGGGAGGGGACGGGAAAGGCCTTGGCCGCCACTGGAGGCAGGGAACAGCTGGAATAAAATAAAATAAAAGCACTGTTATTCCATCATTGGGTCTGTTCATGGAATAAAAAAATAGCTTGTAATCGTGAGGGAACTGGAACCAGCTCCAGAGAAGTGAGTGATGGAATACATTGTGGTGTAGGAAACCCTGGAAATGAGGTGTCCTGATTTTGCTGGGCTTGAATCAAGGAATTCCCTTTTAAAGTTTCAGCAGCATTCCCTTTGATGAATACAAGTTGACATTACAGCTTTGACTAGGATGAAGTTATTTTCCTTATGAAACTGATAAGGTGATTGTTTTTATTTTTGCTGGCAGATAACTTTTCAAGGACAAGCCTGCACCTGTGCTTGTAGTTTCTTTGGTTTGTTTTTTTTTCTTCCTTCTATCTGTGTGAGAGAAAAGGGTGGAAGTGAGAGCCCGGGACTCTCTGGGACAGGTGACCCAGGACAGATGATCCAGGTGTGATCCAAGCTGTCCGACAAAGATATATTCTATCCCATAAACATCACACTCACTATAAGTTGGGGAGTTTGCAGGGGACGACCCCATCAGCCCTTCCTTCTCCTTCTTCAATCCCTTCACTTCTCTCCTTCTCAGGCCCATCTCAGTTCCTGAAGCTCACCCCTCCCTTGTTGTGGCGTTGTTGGCATATGGCCAGGGCCTGCAGTTTGTGAGCAGGATATAACTTTGAAACCTTTATTACTGTTGTTACTTTTCTTGTTACAATTAATCAGTATTATCATTACATAAGTTTGGTTAGTTTTAGTTATTAAATAGTCTTTATCTCAGCTGACGCATTCTTTACTTTTAATCCCTCAATTCTCTCCCTCATCCTACCAGGGAGGGGCTAGGGTGATCAAACAAACTGCATGCTGTTTTAGCTGCTTGCCAGGTTAAACCATGGCCTGAGGAATGTGTTTTTTTTCTTGTGAAAGAGGTATAGTAAGAGGACTTGTTGTCCGGCATGGCATCTCTGCGTGGCGTGGAGAGCCAGAAGCCATAGGACTGTAGTGACAGCAAAGCAAAATGTATGCTATTCTTGCATGGAGTGCCCATAATGATATTCTGGGGAGCACCATGACCTCATGTCCATGGATGGTGCAGAGGTTTTAGCTTACAATGGCTCCCCAGAGCCTTCTCTTCCCCAGGCTGAACAACCCCAACTCTCTCAGCCTGTCTTCGTAGGAGAGGTGCTCCAGCCCTTTGATCAGCTCTGTGGCCCTTCCTGGTTGCAGCTTCCTGATTTTTTCAAGCATTTTAAAAATACTGTGAAACACGTTGACATTAAAAAAGAAATTCACTGCTCAGTTTTCATCCATGTAGCTGGGAAACCACGTAATTTATGGACATCAAATAATAATACTGTTAGGGTAAAAGAGAGCAGGGATCCTCCATGTTATGTCAAAAAAAATCAATCTTAGTGAGTTTTCATGGAAACATGCGAGAAGAAATGGTCTTCCATCAGTTCTCTGTTCTGTACCCTGTCTCATGTCAACATGTTACTGTTAATCATATCTTGTAAGTTGATGTATAGTCTCCATGAATATCTCTAGAAAGGTGATTTAATACCTTGTTGCAGTAGCTTCTCTCATCACTTCACTGATCATATGGTTCCCTCCATTCCCCCAGGTATTTTCCCAGTTACTGTTTTCATTTTTTATAATTATTCAGCTTCTATATAGGCAGGCCAATGACACTGACATCTATATACACACACTTAAGTTTCTATTTAGTCTCCATTTCCAGACAGCACATATCCAGTTGTCAGAGCTTTATTTTTACTGGTCTGACCTTGCAAGACTTTTGCCATTCATTTCTTATGATTTTTGTTCACTACTGTTTAAAAGAGAAAGTTAAAAAATGAGTTATAAAATTACCGTGGTTTTGGCTACACTTTTTGCTCCTGCAACAGTGTGGGTTGACCACAGCTAGCAGCCTAACATTCACAGGGTTGCTTGCTTACCCTCTGTCATGGAATGGGGAGAAAAACAGAAGGAAGATAAGATGTGCCAGTTGAGACAATGACAGATTAATAGCAAAGGTAAAAGCTGCATGTGGGAGCAAAGCAAAAAATTATTTTATTCACTGTTCACATCAGCACCCCGCTCTCTGGGGAGGGTGTATTGGGAGTCCTGTCAAAGGTGTAGTGTTTGAGGATTTGGTGATTTTGGGCAAACCATGTCTGCTTCACTCAGTGTTGTAAAAAAGCTTTCAGAAGCCCTTATCTTAGCATGAGTATTCACTTCACAGGAGCCTGCTGAAGTACCCTGTGCTGGCCCATGCTGTGCATTGTTCTGACAGAGATAACATCCCAGCCTGTCAGGAGAAGGTATGTGACTTTGCTTGCTACACAGAATAAAAGGCACTATAGTCTGGGAAGGGGCTGAGGGGAAGGACAGAAAGCATGGTCGCTGTGCAGGCCGTGCCCAGCATGATCCAAAACACTGCTATCAACACTGGTTTAGTCACCAATCCGAAACACAGCACTGTATGGGCTGCTGTGAGTAAAGTTAACCCTGTCCCAGCCAGACCCAGTACATGCAGGTAGGATGATCCAGAGTTGCAGGTAAGAAGTTTAAAAGTCCATCTGAAAAGTTCCTTAAGGAGTAAGGAGAACCCTGGCTACAGGCATGATAAACTTTTGCAGAATAGCAACACTCTGTGTTTCTCTTTCAGTTTAATCCATACAAACCTGCAGGTTCATACTATTCTCTTTGGTTTTTTCAGTAGTCTCTTGCTCTTTCAAAATAATCTTTATATATAAGATCTGATTAAGATGAATGTTCACATGGTTAGTAGTTAAAGTGGCTTCTTGTGGTCTGAAATATTAAAGGTCTTTTTCCTAAACTGTACAGGAAGCAATTCTATTGTCTATGTAGTCTCTATCATTTCTTCACCTTAAATTACAGCAATTGTGCATCTCTAGTTTGAAATCAGAACAAATCTGATTTTCAAGAACCATAGATACCACAACAGGTACCCCTTTTTGTTGTGCATCTGATCATAACAGTTCCATAAGCAAATTAGAGAATCACAAGAATTGTGTATTTGAATAATCAATCGATTTAGTCTAGCCTTGCTCCAAGGTGTTGTTCAGACTTGTGTCCCTTCTAGCCCGAGTTTCTATGATGGCCATGGCTGTTGTAAATCTTCTTTTTTTCCTGTCATGGATAATATAAAGAGACAGGATCTCTTGGAGCAGCTAAAGGTGACTAAGTAGGACCAAGAAGCAGGTACCTAGAGCCCAGTGGCTTGCCCTGTAGAGTTTACTGTAAAAAATAAACTTTCATGAAATCTTTCAACTTTCTTGTGTGTGGTGTCCTTTTTTAAAAAATATGTGAGAGGGGATGGTTAACGTAAGCTCACAGCCCTTTAGTTGAGTTGTAAGTTTTATCTGCATAATATATGTACAAAAAATTACCAGAAATACAAGTGTCAGTCTTCTGAAGAACAGCTTCAAAGCTCCATGTTAATTTTTTACAAAAATTCTACAAGTTAGGAAGACCTAGAAGTAAAATCATGCAGGCAGTCCATCCATTGGTCAGAACTAATTTTTCCCTGACCAGGGGGTGTGTTGAGGCTTGCCCATTAACACCCATGATAGAAATTAATTGTCTGCTAAGTGGAGGCTGTCCTTTGTAAGTGTTAGCAACCCATAATCATGCACCTGTGATGATGAGGAAAGTTGTGAAGTAGAACCCATTAACTGTCAGCTTCAGCTTGGTTTATTTGCCTAAAAATTTAGTTGCTGTCTTCAAAGCATATCATATAGGCAAGACCATGAGAAAAGGTAGAACTTAAACCTGAAAAATTATCCAGAATGTTGTTCCTGTCATCTTCATATGAAGGAAAAATTTTAAGTTTCTTGAAGTACGATCCAATAGACCTGTAATTAGGAATTAGGAATTAAAACCTATTTAGCTGATCCACCATATTACACAGGACATGTCATTTACCTCAAGTATTCCTGTAGTCCTGTTAAAGTTGATGCTAACTGACTTTAATTCTATTTTTTTTTTAAACTACAAAAAAAAAAGTCCTGTACAATAGCCTCTGAATGCTGAAGAATCATGCTGGTGCTCTAGAGAACATACAAAGAGTACTTACTATATAGTACATTCACAGTAATAAACCAAAGATGGGAAAAACATGGAAAAATCTGTGTCACGTATATTCTAAAACTATGGAGGAGCTCAGAGGACCTGCATTTCACCAAATAATATAGAAAAAATTATTAAGGATTATGTATGTGAACAGTGAAAAAAGAGAAAGCCTGTGATTCAATGCTAACATTATTTGCCTAAGTTTTTAAAAATAGCCTATCTAAATTTTAATAAGGTCAAAGAAGTGGAATTTTGTGAGGCTACTCACAAGGATACTTGTCTTTAGATACAAATATTTTCAGACTCTTGTTATTGAGAGTGTTTTCTTCATCTTTTTTTAATCCAAGGGGCTAATTCTGTTTTTAATCAAAACAATGGCCCAAATCTTAGAAATTTTAGAGAGATGTAATTATTTTTTCCATAATTCAGCTGAGTATAACTAATTTCCTATTAATAATTGTTGTTGTTATTATTATTAAGCTTAACTACAGATACTAACTAGCCTAAAAACATGATGGTGATACATTCTAAGAAAGAGTTAACCTTGTTGATGGTCCTGGAGAGGATTAAAAGCCTTAGAGAGGAAAACACTTCAATTATTATCACATAACTATAATATTTGCTATATTTAAAGCTACTGAGAATTTGTCAGTAATCTTAAATTCAGTGTTTGAAATATTGTGTTTTAGTCCTCACTTTGTTGAATATATGAA